TAATTAGTATTCGTGTTTGTAATGAGTTGTTATATTTCGGCCAAGCAACCTTTCCGACGCAACTCTCACTTTTTCAACGGGTACAGTTTGAAAGTGCAGAAGTGGGAGATGAATTTAATGAAAAGTCTTGGAAGATATTTAAATCAACTCCATTAAATTTATTTAAGAAAGTATATTGAGATATTATGGTCCATTTCTGCAATGTTCGTACGTGCGTACGTAAGTAAATGTTGTTATTGTTATACAAACTAGCTGTAACGTCAAAATTTTGAAATTTTACGGTGTTACCATAAGTATCCGATGTGACATTTTTTTAATGTTTAGTTCTATAAATTATTTCCATAATTAGTCATGTTAATTATAGAACAAATTAATTATACGTAGCGCTTAAAAACAAATTCAGCAACCTGCAGTAACGCATTTATTAATGTTGATCACTATAGTTAAATAATGGTAATAACGAATACTGTTAAAATAATTATACTACCAATAGTAACTCCAATAATTAAGTTAATGTTTTTAGAGTCAGAACTTTCGAATCGATTGAAGTCGGATTATTTGAAGTTATAGAAGTAGTGATATTTGGAATGAGTTCAGTAACCCATCTATAGGAGTCTTGCTTGCTTACATATAAATATTTTTGATGAAATTTTGTCATTTGAAAATGTACCTGTTGAACAAATGAAGATTTAATAAATTTAAATAAAAATTTATAAGTAAATAATATAAACAATTAAGAATTATACAAAGAAAAAAAAAAACAAACAATATAATTATCCATTAATATCCAGATCCATAATCGGGGTTAAAATAATTCCGATTGACCATTAATATCCAGATCCATAATCGGGGTTAAAATAATTCCGATTGACCATTAATATGTTGTAATATCTAAGATCCACAGATCACCGAAATGTCTTGTATACTGTCATGCTTGAAATTGCAACTTCAAACGCCTAAAGGTGAAACTGACTGAAATTATCTAAAATTACTAACTAACGCATGCAAGATCTAATTTTAGGGGCTAATTTCAGTCAGTACAACTTCAAGCGCCTGAAAGTGCAACTTAAAGCACAACAAGTACAATTAATTTCGCCTTTTTTAGACCATGGTAATATAACTTAAGCTCACTATTTTGAATTTTGTTAATTAAGAATTAGTTATGAATTAGCTATATTAAATACTTTTTTAGATTTAATGATAAGAAATAAAATTTTATTAATATCACACTTGAATGTTATTTAGGTAAAATTATGACGTTTAAGAATGTAAAAATTTTGCATTTTAGTTTGATTTCTTACCTCAATTACAAAGAAAATTTCAAGCAATATATGTAATTTCATTATACTACTAGCAATGACATAAGGTAAGTTTCTTATTGTTTTAATTAATACGACTACTAATAATTACGTGTATAACCTGATTCGAGCATATCTAATTCTATGGAATAATCACCACAAGATTACGACCTAATTATACAACTTTGTCGTAATTCAAAGATGATAAATCATGTTATCATTAGGACTTTATTAGTCGATAACAGATTCTATTGTTAAGAACAAGGAAAAGAGGATATGCATTCATGTAATTCAATTACTACAAAATTTTTTTTTTGAATTTAAATGCTTCATTTGACACAAGTGCTTTGGAGAATATTTTAGAGAATATTTCGGAGAATATTTTGGAGAATATTTTGGAGAATATTTTGGAGAATATTTTGGAGAATATATTAGAGAATATTTTGGAGAATATTTTGAGAAGCTTTTGTGAATATTTTGGAGAATATTTTGGAGATATTTTGGAGAATATTTTGGAGAATATTTTGGAGAATATTTTAGAGATATTTTGTCGGTAATCGGTTCTTAAACAAAATTCTAGTGTATAAAAAAAATAGAAATAATGTCTAAAACGGGTGCAGTTATGAAATAGAATGATACGGAGAAAGAAAAACTAAATAAAGATTCAAATCACGCTACATTATTCCCTAAAATATTGGCGAAATTATATATAATCTGTAATATTGATGAATTGAATTATTTTATTATGTTATGATGTACGAATGTTCATAACATTATCAAGGAGACAAAGAAGTCAAATATAATTACCCAAAGGAATTCAGAAAAATTTCAAGATTTTTCTATCGTATATTAGAAGTCAACACAAAGACGCTCAGTTAGTTTAATTAGCACCAATGGAATTCACCAGTGGAATAATAAACGAACTGTATACTGTCAAATATAAATGTTGGCCCACGGACATGAAAAAAATGTTATGAGCGGAAAAACAAATGATTTATTTGGGTGTCAAACATAATGTAAATTTCAAGATAATTGTTGTATGTTAATAATAATTCGAAGATAGACTCTCGAAAAAGATGCTTAATAAATAACATCAAGGAGCATGCGGAATTTCCATCCAGTTATAATATTTTTGCTTATTTAGATAAAAACCAATCGGTGCAACGAAAGAATTAGGCACTGCATAGAATTCACTACCAGGATTTTCTTTAGGTAATCCAAATTTAAAATAAAATCTATAAGCCAATAAGTTCATAATACGCTGTTTTTATAAAAAAGATCATATATCATATGTCAATTGAAGTATAAATTATAAATAAATAAAAATTTTATTAAAAGTTTACTTAAGTTTAAGTCATCCAAATATAATTTTTCAGTAAGTCAAGTCTTTAAATTAATAATATATTCGGAATCATTCAACTTATTCATTAGAAGAAACATAACGTAAAATATTTACATAATCGCTGAGTAAATACAATCCTAAGTAAGATATATATATAAGCACTAACATCAAAAAAATATATCGCCTATAACACTTTGTAAGCATCATATTACTAGTAATCATCGTATCCACTAACAGAATCCCATTGTATTACAACTATCGAAAATTTCTTTGTTTAGATTAACAAAGGTGTGGAATTTTTGACTAAGTATTACAGCATTTTATTTCTTTTTTTAAAGTTTGTGTACATAAGTAGAACTTTCGGCCAGGCAAGGGACTATAAAAAAATCTTTATTCTTTTTGTTCACTACAAATAATAAATATGTACGTACTTTTTTCAATTGTGATTTCTTGATTTGGTAAATTAGTAAAATTTATCTAAATTGGTATTGATATGCATAGTATTTTTGTTTTAGATCACTTAATGTTATCGACATGCATGTACGTACGTACGTACGTACGTATTACTTACACATGTATTCTCCTATTTACAAAATGATTATGTCAAAATGATTATGTTAATAAAATTTATTTAATTGCTGGAGGTTATAATTCCGATTAAAACTCATTCTCAATTATTAATGAAATTGAATTATGTCACTTATTTCGTCCTATGTATAAAGTTATGTCAAACAAATAAAATACAATAAAATAAGTTGGCATCGACAACTCAATCGGCCGAATTTTTAAGTCATCCCTTGGAATATCATGTTTTTGAATAAATATTGTGCGATAAATATTTCATGGGTACGAACGAATGAATGATCATGATGAGGTTGCAACTATTTAAACGACGTATAAAAGGGCAAATTAGGACGACGTGTAGAAATCAAGATAGTATGTCCGGTATGTTAAAGAAACCTTCCTCCAATCCAAATTACTTTGTCTACTAATCCCAATATAAAAAGGCCTCACGCTAACCATTAAAAATGGTTACTTATAAAAATTAAATTTTACAAGTCTATATTAACCGTACGTACGATCAAAATTTTGCATAATTTTCGTATGCCCGTCCGAATTTGTACTGCCGTACAACACTATACTGAATACTTCACATAGTAAATAATGCACAAGAAGTTTCAATTTTATTAATTCATTGACCAATAAAAATCTTGTCAAACTAATTACGTATATTTTTTTTATTATTGTTAAAAGATATAAAAAGACCAATTGCTAAAAAAAAAAAAAAAAAAAAACAAAGAAGTGATCCACTAAACGTGTTTTATTCAAAATGCCAAAAAACGATCAGTTTAAGATGAGATCAAAAGATTTAGTTGTAAAAACTCAACCATCTAAGAAAAAATCAAATCCAATTATTATTACGGTTAATGTCGAACATCCTCCGCCTTTGGATGCGGAATACTTCGTTTTAAAAAAACAAGGTCGTTGTTTGAAGTTTCCCAATGCATTTGTCTTTTATCGGACCGCATATAACCAAACATTGCGTAGTAAGGGGATAAAGTTATCTCAAAGCGATGTTTCCGCGTCGGCCTCCACTGTTTGGAATAGTCTTTCGGCAGAAATTAAAAATTTCTATTTTAACTTCGCATCTGACGTGCGTGAACGGTATATGTCGAGATATCCGGTCTCATATTATCGATGCGAATATAAGTCTGAATCTAAGTCTATTGTTACGTCAAAAGATGAACCAAAAAAGTTGAAAAAATACAATTTTGTGTATGAAAATTACAATCCAAAAGTCGTAAAGAAAATTTCTTTTCAAGAAACTCAGCCAGCAAAAGTTGTTCCATCTCAATTGAACGATACCATTAATCCATCTGATCAACCTAATCAACCTAATCTACCTGCTAATGTGCCCTCTTTAAACGAAAATATTATTACAGGACAGCCATCACTCTTTAACGAAACTTATGCCTTATGGACTAGTTATTCAAATTTATTTCAATTGGATACTATGGATTTGAATCATTCGTTTTCTTACAGCGAAATTCACAACAATAGTTTTGAAAATGAAAACCAACAATTCGTTAATACTTTCATTAATTCTAATGATCA